CCGAGCACTTGAACGGGGGGGGGGGGCAGCTGTGTTGGGAAGGGGCAGGAGATACAGCTTTTAGTTTGTAATAGCCATGAAAAAAAATAGCTTAAAAAAAAGGCTAATTACATTTCAAGTTTAAAATTGCGCTCCAACTGGATTATGACATGCCCCAAACCTTTTCACTGAAGCTGGGTTAAGAACACAGAAGTAGCACATGTGCGTGGCTCACTCGCTCTCTTGCCTTTCCTTGGCAGGTAGGATTTGCTTAGGTGGATTTGCAGGTAGGTGGAGACCCTTGTGCCCAGGTAAACCAGCATACTGTATTCAGTGCATTGTTAACCCCCTGTGCTTTAGGCTTGCTTTTACCTAATAGCACCCTTGTAAGTCCCTCACATAAAGTGTAATGGCTGGAAAGGCAGGGCACTGCTTCCACAAGGCTCCTGTATTTTGCACTGGCCTAGAGGTATGCTGTCATTTTGAACTGTCATTGGACGTAGACACTGTGAACGTGCCCTTGGCGGCTGTCTGAATACTGAGATCTCCAGCCTAATTTTGGCTTTTGGCTGGGAGTGGGAAGCACTGCAGGGGCTGTGTTTATAGGTCCAAAACAACCCATATCCATCTGTATGGCAGCCTGGGGACTACACAGGCGCAGACAGCACCTTCCCACATCCCTGAGGCAGCCAGTGTTCGCATGAGGTGATGGTAGAAGAGGGCTAATTGCTTGACCCCCTCCGCATGAGCCCACAGAGGAATAAATGCAAAGCAAAGGTAGCAGGCGAGGAACGAGTTTGCTCGTTGGTGTAATGGGGGTTGATTTGGGTCCAGCGCTCCCAGGAGAGGAGCTGGATATTATTAAGCTTGGTTATTAACACTGTCTTTCATTGGGGCCATGGCTATGATCTACCAAACAGTAGCAAATGGGTAAGCAGGAGTGGGGAAGGGGAGAGGACGTGGCCCTTGGGTCTGTTTTACAGCCACCTGAGAGCATGTGGTGGTGCATGGAGGGGGGAATAGGGGCATTGCCAATAGAGGTGGAAACACCAGCTGGGTAACAGGCAGGATGGGAAAGGCTTGCACTGCCTCTGCTCTACCACGGAGCAGGTCACTTGGGTTTTGTGGGCTGTGCCTGGCTCTTAGCCCTGCAGCGATATCACAGTGTTCGTGCTGTAGTGCTGCAGCACGGGTCATGGCTGTCAGCCCAATATCGCAAAGCACTTCGCAGAGGAGGTCAGTGCTGGGTTTACAGCTCAGTGCCTTGAGCTCCCAGGAGGCAAAGCTGGCAGCCAGCAGCAGGCCGGTGGCGGCGCTAGAAAGTGCTGTCTGGCCTCTTAGGCCAGTGTGCTGGCTCCGAAACCAGTGGGCTGCAACCTTCTTTAGACTCAGGGGCACCCGTTGTTCAACCTAAGGACCCCCTTTGTTTGACTCGAGGCATCCCTCCAGAGGAGCACGCCATGGTGAGCACAACCCAGTGGTGAAACACAGGGGAGGGGGCAGCAACTGGGGCACGTTTGGTGGGGCGTGCACATTTAGGTCCCCGGTTAAAAACATCTGCCTGTACACCTGGTGGGTGGTCACACTGCCAGTGCCCAGAGCACGGAGTTGCCATGCTGCCCCTTTGCAAATGCACCCTGTGCTGTGGGCTGAGGTCATTGCGTTCAGCCAGTTTTCCCTTCCCACAGCCAGCCCGCTCCGTGCCTCCTCCCAGCCTTTTTCTTCCAGGACCTTCCTGCAACACATGGATGTCCTTTCTGTGTAAGTGTCTTGGCCCACCCCTTCTCCCACGCTCTCTCCCCTGCCAGCAGGTCTGTGTGACCCCCCTGCCACCCCCTCAGAGCTTTCCTTTTGGCCTGCACAGCGGGCTATGCACTCATATTACGGTAACTCATACTTACTTCAGGGAGGTGGGACTGAGCCAGGATGGGAGCGTGATGGTGCTGTTTCCAGGTGGATGAGGATGCTCTGGGGCTGCAGGTGTCCATCCCCCCCCGCCTTCCAGTTTTCTAATTTTCAGCTCACTCAATTGGGTTTTGCTTGTGGGTTCCCCTTACTTTTGAACACGTCTGGTGGTATTGCATCCAGCCGGCATAGCTGTCAGGGTGTGGGGGGGTTCTCACTTTGCTCAACCAATAAAAAATGCTAAGAAATAGCATGAGGCTAATGCAACAGCAGAGTGCTGTGGACAAGTGGAATATTTTGCTGCCCTGTAGCAATGACAAAGCTTTGCTTCCTGAGCAGCTGGCAAAAGCTTTCAATGGTTTTGTCCAGGTTCACTTTGCTTTATTGTCAAAATATTCTCTTTATGCATCTTGAGGGATTTCAGTGCAGCAGGCTGCATCGCACAATCGCTGGCTGTGCCAGCTCCGAGGCGGTGTGACTTTGACAGCCAGCAAGAAGTCAGTGCCCCCCCCCCCC